ACATAGATTTCCAGGTCTATCAAGCTTAAATCTTTGCATTCTACTGCATTAGTCTGACCTAAATTTAACAGCTTCCTAGAAAATGAATAATCTTCAATGGTGGAAGTTAAACTCTTGCAGATATCAGATTAGTGAGTTAATCTTTTAATTTTGCATCACTATCCTTTGTGTAAACCTAAAAAATAAATGTTCAAGTAATATGTTCAAGCAGGCTGCAAAGCCTGCAGTGGCAGCTGCCCCAGTTTGTCCCCCTGAGTACAGACTAATACTCAGGACTGAGCCATAGCTTCAGTTCAAAAGCCCTATTTAAAAAGGAGAGCGCCACCTGTTGCTGTTCAAGCACTCAACTGCTAGTTGAGTCATTCTGTCAAAGACTGCAGGAAAATAGGATCCAAATGCATTCTCCAAATAAGACGGGTTTGAAGTGAGCAAAACCTTTATTGTGGCCGATAATAAAACAGATCATAATATAACAAAGTCCAGAAACACAGCAGACAACAGAAGGGAACACACTAGAAACTATATAGACATGGGGGACGTGGAAAATGGGTAAAAAGAGACAGCTGAAATGAATCAGGAGGACTTGACACAAGAAAGTAAAATTAAAAGCAAGGAACAAGCAAGAACAGATTATCAGATAAAAGAAGATTTAAGGGGAAGAAAGAGAGAAACAAAGAACTAAGACACTAAGAAACATGGCAATCAATTATAACAGAGAACCAATTACAACATCAATTATGATTCTAAAGTTCATGAAAACACATAACTGGGCTAATGGGCCAGAACAATGACACATCTCTTGCTTTTCACACTTCCAATCACTGATGCCTGATCTGCTCTGGATGAGAGTTTCGTTGTTTCTCTCCCCACCTAAATTGTTTAAAGTATAAAGTCCTGGAAGTCCACACTGCTGCAGATGAAAATAACAACTTTTGTTTTACTTTTGATTATAAATCTTATTCATGTCTTTCTAGGTGCTCCAAATTGTGTTTGTATCCACTCCCAGTCTGATCTACATGGGCCATGCTATGCACACTGTCCGCAGAGAGGAGAAAAGAAGGAACAGGGAGGAGGAGGGAAGAGAGGAGGGAGGGGGAGAAGAAGACCCAGGAGGAGGTGAAGGAGGAGGTGGAGGTGGAGAGAAACAAGAGAGGAAAGGGGAACAAGATGGAAATGAAAAAAATGAAAGTCACTCAGCAGGTCGAATTCGCCTGAGGGGAGCGCTGCTGCAGACATATGTTCTGAGTATACTGATACGCAGCATCATGGAGGTAAATGTCACCATTTCTGCCTTTAACTTAAACATAACTTGATAGCAGGTCAAGATTTCAAATCTGTCTAGTTCAAGCTCATGTCTGTCCTCCAAAGGCTGTAGGTGGGTCTGAAATGAGAAGAGAAGCAAATTAATGAAAAATTGCATTGCAGAGTTTGGACCAAATTGCTCATGAAAGTTTAGGATTTGTAAACATTAAAGGACTCGTATTTGTATTGTGCCTAAAACATGATGTCTACCTGTAAAAAAAACAACAAAAAAACCTGTCCTTCCATCCAGGTGGTGTTTCTGTGTCTTCAGTACTTCCTGTATGGAATCTTTCTCAATCCTCTGTACGTCTGCAAGGTAAAAATCAGACATAATTTTGATTTCACTCTTTGCTGTTAACCACAATATTTGGGCCTATAACAGTAATTCTCTTGTTCCTTTGCTCTTTTAGGCATGGCCATGTCCACATCCAGTTAACTGCTATGTCTCCAGACCTACAGAAAAAAATGTCTTTATAGTGTTCATGTTGGTCGTGTCAGCTGTCTCTCTGGTCCTCAGTGTGCTTGAACTACATCACCTGGCATGGAAACATTGTTGCAGGTCAGAAATTCATTGTATAGTTTTTTTAGTTAGAAAAGCCATGATTGAGGTTTTTACATGACGACATAGACGAAAGACTCAACAGATTCAGAATATTCTTTTGAACTATGATGATAATTGATGATAATTTTTTAGTTAATTAATGATTTTATTTAATGATTGTTATGTTTATTTCCTATTTAAGAAGCTTAAAGTTGATAAAGTTACTAAGACCTATTTGAGCATTTAGTCATTAACAAAGATGTAATTTGTTGCCAGTTTGCACAAACAAAAATAGTGGTGAATTATGTAACAGTTTATTTCATATCAGGTACGACTGTGTTAATCTGTTGTTTTGTAACCCCCAAAGTGGCCAGAAAAAAGTGGAGTTTTAACTAGACAAAACTCCACTAACGCCACTAAAACTCCACTAAAAATGAAAAAATAAAGGTGGCTTTTTTTCTGAAGAGTAAGAGTAAATACTGCAATGCGGTAATAATATCCTAATATGTTACTAGACACAGGTTATTCTCCTGTATTCAGTCTAAACCTGATTAAAGAAAGAGATAAAGATAACGATTGTTGATGATTCAGATTTTTGGTCAACAGTGAGACGTATTCATGTGGATTTTAAAGTCTTGTAAAATTAAACAATACAACTTTCTCACGAAATTTCATTTCCCTCAAGAGATTCGATTCCAATAACAATTTTGAGCCTTCAGTGATTCAGATGTACTTCCTGGAATTTACCATTAGAACAAATGGAATGAGGAAAA